TTCACAGAACTAGAACAAATAATCCTAAAATTTGTGTGGAACTACAAAAGACCCCAAATGGCCAAGACAATATTGAGAAAGAATGAAACTGGAGGTGTTGTACTTCCAGTTTTCCAAGATATACTACAAAACTGTAGTCAAAACAGCATGGTTCTGGCACAAAAACAGACACATAGATCAATGGAACAAAATAGAGAGCCCAGAAATAAAACCATGCTTATATGGGCAGTTAATCTGTGACAGAGGAGACAAGAATATACAATGAAGAAAATGCTTCTTCAATATATGCTGCTGGGAAAACTGGACAGCTATGTGCAAAAGAATGAAACTGGGCAACTTTCTTACATCATACACAAAATAAACTCAAAATGGATTAAAAACCTACATATGAGACCTGAAACCATAAAAATCCTAGGAGAGAATACAGCAGTACTTTCTTTTATATCAGCCATAGCACTGTTTTTCTAGATATGTCTCCTGAGGCATGGGAAACAAAAGGAAAAATAAACTATTGGGACCACATTAAAAAGCTTTTGTACAATGAAGGGAACCATCAATCAAACAAAAAGGCAACCTAATGAATGGGAGAAGCTAGTTGCAAATGATATATCTAATAAGGGGTTACTATCCAAAATATATAAAGAACTTCTACAATTCAACACCAAAAAACCAAACAATCCAATTTAAAAAAATGGGCAGGATGGGGCACCTGGGTGGCTCAGTGGGTTAAGCCTCTGCCTTTGGCTCAGGTCACAGTCTCAGGGTCCTGGGCTGGAGCCCCACATCAGGCTCTCTGCTCAGCGGGGAGCCTGCTTCCCCCTCTCTGCCTGCCTCTCTGCCTACTTGTGATCTCTCTCTCTGTCAAATAAATAAATAAAATCTTTAAAAAAAAAAATGGGCAGGGTACCTGAATAGACGTGTTTCCAAAGACATACAGATGGCCAACAGACAAATGAAAAGATGCTACACATCACTAATCATCAGGAAAATACAAGTCAAAACCACATACCTGGCAGAATGGCTAAAATAAAAAGACAAGAAAAAACAATTGTTGGTGAGGATGTGGAGAAAAAGCAACTCTTCTAAATACGAATCAAAACCACAATGAGATAACACCTCATACCAGAAAGAATGGCTAAAATTACCAATTCAGGAAACAACAGATGTTGGTGAGAATGCAGAGAGAGGGGAACCCTCAAGATACAAACAGTGATTCAAAGGGGCACATACATCCCAATGTTTATAGCAGCAAGGTCCACAAAGCCAAACTGTTGAAAGAGCCCAGATGTCCATTGACAAATGAATGAACAAGGAAATGTCTCACACACACACACACACACACACACACACACACACACAAATATTACTCAGCCATCAAAAAGAATGAAATCTTGCTATTTATGGTGACATGGATGAAACTAGAGGGTATTATGCTAATCAAAACAGTCAGAGAAAGATAAATGCCATATGTTTTCACTCATATGTGGAATTTAAGAAACAAAACCAACGAACATAGGGGAAGGGAAGGAAAAAGAAAATAAGAGGTAAACAGAGGGAGAGGCAAATCATAAGAGAATTTTAACTAAAGGAAACAAACTGAGAGTTGCTGAAGGGTAGATGGGTGGGAAGATAGGGTAATTGGGTGATGGGCAATAAGGAGGGGACTTGAAGTAATGAGTACTGGGTATTGTATGTAAATGATGAATCACTAAATTCTACCTTTAAAACTAAGATTACAGTATTATTATATTGAATTGAAAAACAAATTTTTTAAAAAATATCTTATTTGAGAGAGAGAGCACATGAGGACAGGCACAGGGAAGGGGGAGAGGGAGAAGCAGGCTATCCACTGAGTAGGGAACCCAACTTGGGACTCAATCCCAGGATCCCAGGATCATGACTGAAGCTGAAGTCAGATGTCTAATGGGTGCCCATTAAATAAATTATTTTTAAAAAAAGAACTCTTATCCACTTTTGGTGGGAATGTGAGTTGGTACATCCACTGTGGAAAACAGTGTGGATTTTCCTCAAAAAACAGAAGTAGCATATGATCCAATATTTCCACTAGTGGGTATTTACTCAAAGAAAACAAAACCACTAATCTGAAAAGATTACATGCTCCCCTATGTTTTGCAGCATTATTTGCAATAGCCAAGATATGGAAGCAATCCAAGTATACATAGATGGACAAATGGATAAGAAAGATATGGTGTGTGTGTACACACACACACACATACATGAATATTATGCAGCCATAAAAAAGTTTGAGCTCTTGTCTTTGCAATAACATGAATGGACCTAGCAGGTATTATGTTAAGCAAAAATAAGTGAGACTGAGAAAGACAAATACCATATGATCTCACATGTGTAGAATCTAAAAAACAAATCAAATTAAGAAACAAAAAAACAGGGGCACCTGGCTGGCTCATTTGGAAGAACATGCGACTCTTGATCTCAGAGTTGTGAGTTGAAGCACCATGTTGGGTATAGAGATTACTTAAATAAATAAAAGTTAAAAGAATTTAAAAAAACAAACAAAAAAACAGAATCAGATCTGTAAACACAGACAACAAACTAATGGTTCCCAGAGGGAAAAGGGATGGGGTATAGGCAAAATGGGAGTAGGAAAGGAAGAGGAGTAGGAAACACAGGCTTTTAGTTATGGAATGAATAAGTCAAGAGTATTGTAATAGCATCCTGTGGTGACAAACGGTAGCTACACTTGTGGTGAGCATAATATAATGTACAGAGAAGTTAAATCCCTATGTTGTACACATAAAACTAATGTAATGTGTGTTACCTATACTCAAAAAAAATTTTTAAAGAATATTAGCCTTTTGTCTTTGGTATATATTATGAATATTTTTCCCAGTTTGTCAGTTGTCTTTTTGTGTATGTTATTTTTTGTCACGCAAAAAAATGTTTATTTATATTGGATTTACTTCTCTTCCCAGGCCAGAGATAATGTAGCAGCTTACTAATATCATTAAGATCCTATAGTCATTATATCTTTCTACCACCAAGTGTGTTGGATTGTTTCCCCATAATTGTAGAATGGTTGCTAAGCCTCTGGGTATCACAGCAGTTCCAGGGGAAAAGAATGAGAAAAGGCTGTACTAGCCATATATATCTCTTTTTATCAAAAGACTCAAAGCTTTCCAAGAAATTGCCCAGAGAACTTCTTTTAGATCTATTGGCCAGGACTGAGTCATATGCCTATTGACTACTTGGGAGACTTCTTTGATAAAGTTTATGAAACACAACAAAACAAAAAGCAAGTTTTTCATTCTCTTATTCTCTATATTGGTATAAAGCAAGGAGAAATGGAAAAGAATGGAGAGGAGGAATGGGAATGGATGATGTCAGCTCACCTCTCAGAGCCTGCCAAAAAGGGATAGGGGCGCCTGGGTTGCTCGGTGAGTTAGAGTCTCTGCCTTTGGCTCAGGGTCCTGGGATCAAGCCCCGCATTGGGCTCTCTGCTCAGCGGGGAGCCTGCTTCCCCCTCTGTCTCTCTGCCTACTTGTGATCTCTGTCTGTCAAATATATAAATAAAATCTTTTTAAAAAAGCAGGGATAAATAATATCAAAGAATTAAGCATTGATTATATAGTCCCTGAAAGAAGAGTTGATAGCTGTCTGGATGGCAGTATTTCAAACGGTTCAAAAACCTTGTATTCTATGTTATGCTTAGTTTGGCAACTCCTTTGCTGATATAAAGTGCACAAAGAAGCAGCCTATCTCTTTAGTGAGTGTTTCAGTTAGGTTCTTTGTCCACTGCAGGTGACCAAAAAAAAAAAAAAAAAAAAAGTAAGTAAGTAAGAAAAAGAAAAGAAAATCCCACCTCAAATAATTTATCATGTTAAAAAAGGAAGTTATTACCACATATACCTGAAAAATCTAGCAGTAAATTATATGCAAATACAACTTGATCCAGAATTTCAAATGACAGCAATAGGAACCAATTCCTTTCCATCTCTAAGCTCATCGTCCCTCTGTGCCAGTTAAACTCTCAGCTAAGCTCCCCCTTCATATAGCAACTCTTTTTAGGTCCAGGCTTATATACTCACAGCCTCGAATCCAGTGAACAAAGTGCTTCTCTTTACCAATGATTTGAATAAAAGTCCTGATGTTACACGTTGGCTAAAATTATTTCATATGCCTATCCTTGAACAGTCAATTTGCGCAGGAAGATGCAGGGCTCCTGTTATATTAAGTCACAGGCCTTGTCTAGCTCATCAAAGGATAAGCAAGAGACTATTATCAGCAAAAGCAGAGAGTAGTGCACTGTAGTCTTTTATATATTTTAGGAACATCTATTTCAGGGAAATGCTTCTCAGTGATTATTAGATATCATTCACTTCACTTTTACTTAACTGTAAAATTCTAATTAAATATAAGCAGACTTCTGCAGCTGATTAGGGTCATAAGTTCTTCAGAAGACTACTCCCATGGTTCTTTATGTTCCTAAGTAATAGCATAGTGGATCTGGACTGTAAAATGTTGACTGATAGGCATTTTCTTGGCTAATCAGTCTAATATGTATATCTATATGCTTGGTACTAGATTAAGAACCATGAGATCTGAGTTTAAGTTCCAGGTATGCAGCTGTTAGTTTTATAACTTGACAAGTTATTTTTTTCATATATGTAGCATAGGAATAGTAAATTGTTACATTTGCCTCACAGGACTATTATAAGAATCAAGAAAGATCAAAGATTGGAAAGGACTTCAAAAATTATAAGTATCCAAATATAGGCTGATAGATTCCTGCATCTCATAAAATTTCCCAGCAATTTTGTTGGGTTTATTTTGGTATTTTGAAAATACTTCTACCTAATTTAAGTGGCAGACATAAAAACAATATGAAAAAATAAAATTATAAAAATAAAATATACTATCACCATATACTTTAGAGAGAATATTTCTTTTTACTTAATTTTTGCCTCTAGTCTCTATTTGAATTATATTTCTAATAGATTGATTTTTTCCCCCTTTCCTAGGTATGTCTTCAGAAGACTATCAGAAATGCCAGAGAGAAATGTAAGAACTAACATTTTAAAGTTGTGCTTTTGAAAACCCTGTGTTCTAATAGTTACATACCTGGAGTGATTATTAGCCCACAAATTCAGGTGTTCATTTATTCATGGTTGGTTGAGGAATCATTATGTGCCAGAAGTATGCTAATTGCTAGAGAAATATTGTAATGAATGAAATTGATTAAAAACAAAATCCTTGCCTTCATCAAGTCCACATTTTAGTTGGAAGAGGTAGACAATAAATGAGTAAATTTATACTATTCTATGTGGTGATGAATCCTATAGAGAAAAAGTAAAATGGGGGTGAGAGAGTATTGGAATGGAGGTTCACTCTTTTAAGTAGTGTTGTCAGAGAAGTCGTAACTGAAATTTGAGCAGAAACCTAAAGAAGACAGAGCAAGATGTGTGACTCATAGGAGAGAAGAGTAATAGTTGGAGCACGAACCCACGGCAAGAAGGCCTGGGTTCTAGGAGTGGAATGTGGGAAGAGGAGAAAGGAAGTGAAAGAAGCAGTAGAGACCATATCACATAAGACAATGTAAGTGAATATAAGTGGATTGGAAAGCCTTTGAAAGGTTTAAAAGGGTGACATGATATAACTTAGATTTTAGGGGCGCCTGGGTGGCTCAGTGGGTTAAAGCCTCTGCCTTCTGCTCAGGTCATGATCCCGGGGTCGTGGGATCAAGCCCTGCATCGGGCTCTCTGCTTAGCGGGGAGCCTACTTCCTCCCTCTCTCTGCCTGCCTCTCTGCCTACTTGTGATCTCTGTCTGTCAAATAAATAAATAAAAATCTTTAAAAAAAATAACTTAGGTTTTAAAAGAATCACCTTGGCTGTTGTATTGAGAATAAATTATGAAGAGACAACGAATTAGGGAGATTATAGTTAGGAGACTGTTGTCATAATCTAAGCAAGAGATATTGGACTGGATTGGTGAGAGTAAAGGTAGAGAGGTCAGATTTTGCATATATTTTGAAAGCAGAACTAACAGGATAGACTGTTACTTGTTGATGTTCTGAATGGTAGAGTATGAAAATAGTGAAGACTGACTCCACGGTTTTGGCTTCAGCAACTAGAAGGATGGTGTTGTCATTTATTAAAATGGGAGAGACTGAAGAAAAGCATTGCTGAGCAAAGATCAAGGATTTGGTTTGGGGCTTGTAGACTAAGGGGTAAGGCATATGTGAGAGAGACAGTATCTAAATTGAAGGAGGTAATCATAATCTGGATCATAAATGGCCTTAGGGGCTGGGATTTTTATTTTCTCTTGAAAGTGATGGGAGTCTCTGAAAGATTTTCAGTAAACCTATAAAATATAACAAAAATTTTAAACACTTTAATTTTCAAAGTTTGAAGGAACTTGCAAAAAATTCATACAAGTTTAAAAACAAATCCAGAAGACACCATAAAGAAAATGACAAGACAGTCCGTAGGATGGAATAAAATATTTGCAGATTATATATCTGATAAGGGACTTGTATCTGGAATATATAAAGAATTCTTGAAGTGCCTGGGTGGCTCAGTTAAGCGTCTGCCTTTGGCTGGGGTCATGATCTCAGGGTCCTGGGATCGAGCCCCACGTTGGGCTCCCTGATCATCAGGCAGGCTGCTTCTCCCTCTCCTTTCCAGTCGTGCTCTCTCTCTCACTATCTCTGGTTCTCTCTCTCTCTCTCTCAAAGGAACAAATAAAATCTTTTTAAAAAAATTTAAAAAAGAATTCGTAACAACTCACAATAAAAGAAAAAAATAACTCAATTTAAAAATGAGCAAAGGATCCAAACAGGCATTTCTCCATAGAAGATACATAAATGGTCGAGTTTCATTCTTCTACATATAGCTGTCCAGTTTTCCCAGCACCATTTATTGAAGAGACTGTCTTTTTTCCACTGTATATTTTTTCCTGCTTTGTCGAAGATTATTTGACCATAGAGTTGAGGGTCCATATCTGGGCTCTCTACTCTGTTCCACTGGTCTATGTGTCTGTTTTTATGCCAGTACCATGCTGTCTTGGTGATCACGGCTTTGTAGTAAAGCTTGAAATCAGGTAACGTGATGCCGCCAGTTTTACTTTTGTTTTTCAACATTTCCTTAGCAATTCGGGGTCTCTTCTGATTCCATACAAATTTTAGGATTATTTGCTCCAGCTCTTTGAAAAATACCCGTGGAATTTTGATCGGAATGGCATTAAAAGTATAGATTGCTCTAGGCAGTATAGACATTTTAACAATGTTTATTCTTACGATCCAAGAGCATGGAATGGTCTTCCATCTTTTTCGTCTTCTTCAATTTCTTTCATGAGTGTTCTGTAGTTCCTCGAGTACAGATCCTTTACCTCTTTGGTTAGGTTTATTCCCAGGTATCTTATGGTTCTTGGTGCTATAGTAAATGGAATCGACTCTCTAATTTCCCTCTCTGTATTTTCATTGTTAGTGTATAAGAAAGCCACTGATTTCTGTACATTGACTTTGTATCCTGCCACGTTACTAAATTGCTGTATGAGTTCTAGTAGTTTAGGGGTGGAGTCTTTTGGGTTTTCCATATAAAGTATCATGTCATCTGTGAAGAGAGAGCGTTTGACTTCTTCATTGCAAATTTGGATACCTTTTTTTTCTCTTTGAAACTCGACCATTCTCTTACACCATACACAAAGATAAACTCGAAATGGATAAAAGACCTCGATGTGAGACAGGAATCCATCAGAATTCTAGAGGAGAACATAGGCAGTAACCTCTTCAATATCAGCCACAGCAACTTCTTTCAAGGTATGTCTCCAAAGGCAAAGGAAACAAAAGCGAAAATGAACTTTTGGGACTTCATCAAGATCAAAAGCTTCTGCACAGCAAAGGAAACAGTCAACAAAACAAAGAGGCAACCCACAGAATGGGAGAAGATATTTGCAGATGACAGTACAGACAAAAGGTTGATATCCAGGATCTACAAAGAACTTCTCAAACTCAACACATACAAAACAGACAATCATATCAAAAAATGGGCAGAAGATATGAACAGACACTTCTCCAATGAAGACATACAAATGGCTATCAGAGGGACACCTGGGTGGCTCAGTGGGTTAAGCCTCTGCTTTCGGCTCAGGTCATGATCTCAGGGTCCTGGGATCGAGTCCCACATCGGGCTCTCTGCTCGGCAGGGAGCCTGCTTCCCCTTCTCTCTCTCTGCCTGCCTCTCTGCCTACTTGTGATTTCTGTCTGTCAAATAAATAAATAAATAAAATCTTTAAAAAAACAAAACAAAACAAAAAACCAAATGGCTATCAGACACAAGAAAAAATGTTCATCATCACTAGCCATCAGGGAGATTCAAATTAAAACCACATTGAGATACCACCTTACACCAGTTAGAATGGCCAAAATTAGCAAGACAGGAAACAACGTGTGTTGGAGAGGATGTGGAGAAAGGGGAACCCTCTTACACTGTTGGTGGGAATGCAAGTTGGTGCAGCCACTTTGGAGAACAATGTGGAGATTCCTTAAGAAATTAAAAATAGAGCTTCCCTGTGACCCTGCAATTACACTACTGGGTATTTACCCCAAAGATACAGATGTAGTGAAAAGAAGGGCCACCTGTACCCCAATGTTTATAGCAGCAATGGCCACGGTCGCCAAACTGTGGAAAGAACCAAGATGCCCTTCAACGGACGAATGGATAAGGAAGATGTGGTCCATATACACTATGGAGTATTATGCCTCCGTCAGAAAGGATGAATACCCAACTTTTGTATCAACATGGATGGGACTGGAAGAGATTATGCTGAGTGAAATAAGTCAAGCAGAAAGAGTCAATTATCATATGGTTTCACTTATTTGTGGAGCATAACAAATAACATGGAGGACATAGGGAGATGGAGAGGAGAAGCGAGTTGAGGGAAATTGGAAGGGGAGGTGAACCATGAGAGACTATGGACTCTGAAAAACAACCTGAGGGTTTTGAAGGGGAGGTGGTGGGAGGTTGGGGAAGCCAGGTGGTGGGTATTAAGGAGGGCAAGTATTGCATGGAGCACTGGGTGTGGTGCAAAAAACAATGAATTCTGTTACGCTGAAAAGAAATTTAAAAAAAAGAAGAAGATACCTAAATGGCAAAAAAATACATGAAAAGATGCTCAGCATCATTATCCATTAGGGAAATGCGGGTCAACTTGAATGAGAATCACTTCATACCCACTAGGATGGCTATAATTAAAAATACTGATAATAACTATTATATTGTATATGGAAAAATTGGTACTCTCATACATTGCTGGTGGGAATTTAAAATGGTGAAAGTACTTTGGGAAAATAGTTTGGTAGTCCCTCAAAATGTTACATGTGACCCAGCAATCCTCTCCTAAGTATGCATACATGAGAAAAATGGAAACATGTGTCCACACAAAAACTTGTCATGAATGTTCACAGAAACTTTATTCATAATAGCCAAAAAAGTAGAAACAGTCCAAATGTCTATCTGCTAATGAATGTAGAAATAAAATATGGTATAGACATATGGAATATTATTCAATAATAAAAAATGAAATTCTGATATATACTACAATGTGGATGAACCCCAGACATACTCTAAGTGAAAGAAGCCAGTCATGTAAGACCACATACTTTATGGTTGCATTCATATGAGGTATCCAGAAGAGACAAATCTGTATAGACAGAAAGATTAGTGATTGCTTAAGTCTAGGGTGTTTAGGAAGAAATAGGGACTGACTGCTTCATGGGTATAGGGTTTTTTTGGGGTGATGAAAATGTTCTAAAATTAAATGTATGACAGTTGCACAACTCTCTAAATATATTAAAAGCTGAATATACACTTTATATGGGTGAATTGTGTGATATGTGAATTGCATCAATAAAACTTTAAAAAAAGCTAAGACTTAGGAAACCAAGGAAATATCATTTTTAATAGAAAATACAGGTAGTAAAGATAATAGACCAAAAATAAATAAGCTATAAGAGTTAACAGTCAGATGATTTAATTGAACCACATTTTGGCTCTCAGCTTT